GGAGGGGTGGGGGGTCGGGAAACAAACCTGCCCCTGGTTGGAGCGGCGGCAGGAGGGGGGGAACAAACCTGCCCTCGGCCGGAGGGGGGAGGGGGAGAGAACAAACCGGCCGGCCGGAGCGGCGAAGTGGGAGGGGAACAAACTGGTCGGCCTGCCGGAGCGGCGAAAAAAAGAAAAAACAAAAAAACAAAAACAACAAAAAAATACCTGCGAGGTGGTGGGAGCGTGGGTACAGGGGGACTCCCGGCCCTGCAGATCCCAGGCAGCGGAGTGCGCACCCCGGCTAGCCGGGGGGAGGGGGAGAGAAGGGAGGCGTCCAGGGCTTTCTTAAGCGGGGCGCTTGCCACGCAGCCCCTCCTGCTGCACCGCCTGCCGGGAGGGCTCCGTGCCACTCCGGTCGGCAGGCAGGGAAGGACGCAGGCTGCCCTGCTGGGCTTGATGCAGGGCGCTCCCCTCCTCCGCCCCCTACAGGGCGGCGGGAGCAGCAAACCAAAAAGAAAAAACCTGCAGGGGCGGCCAAAGCGGTGAAGCGCCAAAAAAAAAGAAAGGATTGGAGGGAAGCCGCCCTTTGGAATCTGCCGCCCCAAGCACGAGCTTGCTCGGCTGGTGCCTGGAGCCGGCCTTGCCTATGTCATCTCTCTTCCTTCTTTCAGGAACAAGACATTCCATCCTTTTACATTATCCAGAGGCTGTTGACTGGGATGATGCTTTGTCCCACTTATTGTCACATTTTGCTTTTTAGGCCTTGGCTACCTGCAGAGTTGCACGGGTTGAACTAAAGTTGATAATTTATATTGATCTAGTTACAATGATGAAAGCCCATGTGGACACTCATATTTTGTTATAGGTGGGACTTACTTCGGTTTAGTTTAAATCATCTGGGAATTGGTTTAAACTAAACTGAAATAAGCCAATCTACACCAAAATAAAGAATGTCCACATGGTTTTAACTGAACTGGTTTAACTAACTGTGATGGTTCTCATTTGATGGTTCTCAGGGTGCCCAGGACTGTGAGTCACCTCATTACACCCTGCCTCTAGCAGGAGGTAGCCTGGCCTGTGCTGGCTGGGTGTTAGCTCCCTAATGCGACCAGCCTGTCAGTCACTCAAGCACTGTCCTCCAGGCTATGCCAGACCTGTCTTCCCTTGTGGGTTAACAATAGGTGCACCCCTGTCTCTGAGTCCCTTTGAATCATTCCCCTGTGATACTCAGCCCTTGACACTGGCTACTCACAGAAATCCCAGATCCTTTCCTCCCAGGAGAGCAGTGTACCCCAGTTTATTAATTTTACCTTAAATCACCGCTCCTGTATAACACACAGCACTTGTGAGCACTTATAATAAAACCAAAAAGGGTTTATTTAAGAAAGAATAGAGACAAGAGAGAGTAGTGGAAACAAATGGTTACAATACAAAACAAAATCATAAAATGTGAACCTGGATCTACACTTATTAATGGTTATCTCTCCTATCTAATAAAGTAGGGTTCCCCCACCCCAAAGTTCAAGCTGTTGCAGAGCTGGTTGGATTCACAAGAACCAGAATCCAATTTTTCATGAGAACATCTCAGTACCTGTGAAAAAACATCCCTGCACCCCGGGATGACTCCTCAGTGAAAGGATGCAGACGGTCTTTCCCCCTCCTCTGGTATACTGAAACAGCCTTTTGTCTTTATTCATAAACAGGGTGAACCCCTTTCTGTTGTAATGTTCCTTTTCTACCTTCCAGTGGTTTTGATTGTTTGCACACTAATACATGTCCCTAGCAGCCCTTTCTCCTTTCCCTTCCTTCCATGTTTGCCACACACTTGGTGCCAGGGCAGGGGGATGGCGGTATCCATGTGGGACTGCATGAGGCACATTTGCCCTATCCTGCCACTCATAGGGCCTGATTGCATGGGCCACCCAGCCATGGAGTTGTCCAAACTGTTCCTGGAATGCAGCCAGGGTACTGCAGAAGGAACACAGGCCATGGTGTGGGTGCAGCAGGAGCCAGGACTCTTGC